ATTATTTGGTTAATTTGTGACCAAGTATTGGTGGTGAATCGGGATCGGGGGGTGAGGTATTTGGTGTATGTGACCAACTATTTGGTTTATTGTGACTAACCATTAAATTGTGATCTTAAAATTCGATAATTTGTGACTAAAAAATAATTTATGACCAACAAATTTGAATATATGTGACCGATAGAAAAACTGTGACCCTGAGTTCTGCATTATTTAAACTTAATACTTGATTTTTGCAATTGTGAAACTTAATGCCCGATTTGTGAACTCTTCCCTTTCCAATGTTTCGATAAGTGATCTGACCATAAACCCGAAAAGCTAAAAGGTTAAGGGTTCAACCGGGGTCGAATAGTTAATAATAAATAAAATAATTAATATATAAATTTATCAAAAATAATTTTACAATAGCAATATCAAAATAAGAACTTAAGAGCACAACAATATGATCGAAATAAGAACTTATGAGCACAAAAATATAATCATAATTAACCTCTTTTTCATCCCCTTCTTTCTACATGCCATATAATCATATCACAAATATTCACCAAATATTAGGCGGTCAATGTTTACATTAGCTAGTGTACTGAAGTGGATCAAAGAGGAAGTCCGATGGACATCGTGGCAAAGGAAAGCTAAAAGAATTGCGCTTGCTAATACCGTTTATTACATTTAGATGGTAAGAAATAGAAATTTTTTTTAAGATCTTAGACCACAAGTCGATAGTGTAGTGCGATTGATTAAAACACACGTATACAAAGTCATGTTTTCTTAGTGAGAATGTTTTGATTCATTTCGAGTCATTTCCTTTGGGTCTATGGATTGTATCGTTTGTACATCACTTTCATTTTGTTTACCCAGGTATGTGCGGTGTACGTATACGCACTTGATCTTTATTCACTCGAAAATTTTTGGTGTGTATTATGATTTTTGATCAATATGTTTTGTACCGGTTCGCAATTTTCTTGATCAGACCGGCAGGGTCGGTCCGATTTTAAGAACATTGATATTTTCATCTTCATATAAAATATTGTCTATTAAAAATCATTCACCAAATCAGCATTATTAATTAAAAACTAGTTGAATTAGAATTGATTTTCTTGGTTCTAGATACTAAAATCGGAACCGAACCAAAAATCGACTAGTTCTTGGTCCTAAGAACCAGAACTGTTCAAAATTTTAGCGAAATCGAGCCTAATCGATCTATTCTAATTTGGTTGGTTCCGGATCTATTGCCCATACTAACACTACCGGTAGCATTATTTATTTGTAAATAACAACAACAACAACAACAACAAAAATTATCAAATAGAAATTTGTTAATTTATATATTTATATTTAATGACGAATTTATTAGAACAATGTACACTAATTACGAATGCTTAGTTAGGTGTTCAAGGCTAATTAATTAATTAATTAAGTTGCAGCCATGGAGTCTTCCTGTTGTTGGCTATCACCAAAAATCCGATTCAAAATCATTGCTAATCGGACTCCACCCTGAGCTATTCTTTTCATGACAAGGGGCAGCCTTGAATCAAAGTAATTATCTGTAAAAAGAAAAAAAAAAAAGATATTTTAAAAATCGACGTGGACATTGACCCTAAAAAATATAGGGTCAAGGGGTTGATAAAAATAAATAAATTTATTTGATATATGGGTACCTGAAAGTGTATCTCCGGCTTCAACACCTTTGTAACCCCAGTTGCAAGCTATGTTAATACTCTCAGCAGCATACCTGATAATATTGAACATAATTAAAGAAAACGTAGACGCGATGAAATTTATCTGTTAAATTTAGTTCAACTAACTAAATATCGACGACGTTTATAATGAAGAATATAAGTACACCACACTGAAAAGGTTGTAAACTCACTTGTTGAGACAAGTAGAGAGATTGTCGCAGTCCCTCCATGAAGAAAGATCTTCCGTCCATATTCCCTTTTTGTTTATCAAGAATTAAATTAGTATATAATACAAATTGCAAGCAATTAGGGCATCTCGAACGGATTTTTTTATGTTTAAAGAACTTCCTGACCATGATAGAGAATATCTTTAAATTTTACTTTTTACAACATTCATTTATTATTTTTGTCTTTTAATAAAACTTGCAACGTTATTAAATGTCGGGTTGTGCTTGGTGTACATAATATATGTACATAGGGATGTCTATACCCCTCACATGAGGTGGAACCCACGAACACCAAGAATAATCCTTAAATGCGACCTTCGTAAAATACAAATAGAGTTGAGTTTGACGCTAGTTTAGGTAAAAGTGTTTATGTCATTAAATTGTAGGTTCAATTAAATCAAAGAATTTATGATTTATTTATTAGAACTTATGACATGCTGACATCAAGACTGGCATTCATCAACATCATTGGTGTTAAATAATATTATTCAAAGTTAAAATGAAGAGTCTATTAGAACCTACTTTTAATGTTTTAACTCTTTAAAATAAAGAGCAAGTCACTTTTAAGCCCATATTTGGTACACATTCTTTCGAAATAAATTCTTTTAAAATTTATTTTCAACCACACATTTTTCAATAAAATCACATTTTTCATCACATCAATAACTTTTCCTTGCTTTTTAACCACATATTTTTCATCATATCACTATTTAAAATACATTCTTTTTCTCAATAATATCCATCAGACACACACTAAATTTTTTTTTTGAAAATATTCTCTGTAGCTAATATATTTATCATATTAGCAAAGGAAATTAATGGTTTATAATGTGGCAACCACATTACTAGTGGACAACATATCTCTTACCCATAGTGGACAACAGAAAATATGTTGCATACTGGTGATGTGACAACATGTGGTGTTACCACGTCATCGGTATTTTAGACCTATCGAAAAAAAAAAAAATTATGTTTATACCTACATTTGTAAAATTTCCTTCAATATCTCGTCGGAGGAGGCTCGTGTCCTTCCCGTAATAATCTGCCGCAGCTGTCAAAATAATTTCTCTATCCCACACCTATATGGTTAATTATAATGACGTTAATAAACCACCTTTAATTGGACAAAAATAATTGACAAACATTCACGTCTATTAACATTAATCGTGTTCAATCTTATCGAGTATAACATTTCAAATCTCAAACTTTCTTCACCGTTAAATGTTTCATAACGCTTTTTCGTGTCCTAGATTTTGACACGTGTATTTGAATGTCTCTATATAAGGGATGTATATTGTTAGTTAAGAAATGTTCGAAAATATGATTAACTAGCGATTACAAAGAAAATTAGACGTCTCTTTTTCATTTTCATTCAAGAATTATAACATACCAAAAAAGAAAAAATATAATCTTAAAACGAGAAAACTCACATGGTGCAAATTCGATTTGTGTCTAAACCAACGCAAGTTAATCGTATTTCCTCCTTCGTCACTTGTGAACCCAACATGCATGGGCTAAAAGAAAACAATCACAAAAAGAAAAGAAAAATTTAAAAAAAAAGTTGAGAAAAAATAAATAAATCAACTTAACTAAAATTTTCGTAAAGGGCTCTCACTTGATGAATATCTCCCATGAAGTGGGCCAAAAACAACAAAGCTTCTGTCATGTTGTCTGAAAAGAAAATTAATTGAAATGAGCTCATTTTTAAAATTCAATATTACTTTTTGATTGATTTTAATTAGTTATATGCAAAAATAATCAAGAAAATTAAAGGAGAGTAATTCTCTTACGACGTCGATCAGAGGTTCCATGCCTATAGTGTGAGAGCTGATTGGTGAAATTTTGAATGGCCCCAGCAACGCACATATCCTTCACTCCATGAGTATCGTGGCAATCCCCTTTGATTATACATGAAGATCAAAGAATTAAAATAAATGCATTTTCTAATGAAAATATTAAAACTTTAGATCGGGAGATTATTCGATAACTTTTTGTTTTTAAACTTAGGCCCTGTTTGATGTCCATTAAAGAGTTTTTTTTTGGGTAAAATGAGTTATGGAATAATGATTTTTTGAAGAATATGTGATTAAAAAGTAGGTTTTGAATTTACTTGCAAAATATTTTATCGTGAAAATATGTAATTGAAAATGAGTTTTAGAAAAAAAGAATTTTTGAAGAATGGTAGACAAACATGAGCTTACTTTTGTAGTTGAAATTGCAGGCTTCATCCGGCGTGTCAATAAAGTGAAGAGGGCTCGTCCATCGGTATCTATACCAGTGCCTTACTTGATCCGGCCACACGCACAGGGCCGACAAATCACCATCAACATAGTCAGGTAATAGCATTTGAACAGCATGCAACGCCTCAGGTTCCAACAGGTCCTATGTTTTCGAAATAAATTATCATCTAATCTAAGCATAAAATGGAATCTCGAAATCTTAAAAGAACGTGCATGGTTTTGCAGTTTACCTGGGCAATTTTGCATGTCATGACATGACCTTCTTTGCTCCATGATTCAACACGAGGTCCATAACCGAAAGAAAAAACAAGAAAGAAGGCAAAAAAGTGTAAAGATATTCTCTTTAAAACTGTTGGCTCTCTCATTCTGCGAATACGATTATGTTCTCGGAATTGAAAATGGACAATAATGAAGTGACACTATGATGGGGGCCTTTCTATATATACAGAAATTATTGATTTATGCAATGTGTACAAGCTAAAGATTCTTCCCATTTCAAGTACTCTCCAAGTAAGCTATAAACAGAAGCAACAAATGGGCACATTCCATAATAATAGAGGCAATCCCAACATTTAAAAACAATGTGACTTTGAAGTTACACATAAAATACATGTCCTCATTGTTGACTTTAAAGACAAGCAATTGGTTACTCAGGTAGTTCATTTCTTGACGTGTGGGGAATTTCCAGCTTTGAAGGATTGATAAGATGCAGTCCAACTCTATCCGCTGGTTACCATTCATTCTTTTGCAATTGATGGGCGTGATGCAAAAATTTGGTTGAGAATAACTGCCAAACGGACCCCACTTTGAGCCAATCGCTTCTCTACAACTGGCATCCGAGAGAGAAAGTAATCATCTACACAAAATAGGGGGAAAAAAAGTCACAAAGGATAACTATCATTATGCAATAAATCCAAGAGTTGAAGAGAATATCTGGCCTTAGCCGACCGTGTGTAGGAATTAGAACTACGCAACAAATTCATGCAACCACAAGAAATGAGGTGGCAGAAAAATAATTGAATTATTTCGATCTCTAGCTTCAGAAAACTGATATTTATACTTCAATACAAACTGCATTTGTTTGACATATTTTACATGAAAAGAAAAAACAGCCCAGTCCGGTTAAATAATCCTCTGAAAACTTAATTAGACAGTCGTTGAAGAGTACAAGTGTTAACAAGGCTCATCTTTACCTCCTAAAGTGCTTCCTGGTGTGGCATTTCTGTAAGCAAACTTACATGCTAAATTAACGCTTTCCGAGGCATACCTGCACAATGAGCAATCCAATCAATTTTTTATGAATTTTTTAATATTAAGTATCAGAACTCTCAGATGATGACACTCCTCCCTTTTCCTGCTAAAAAAACCGTCATAGAATGTCAGCTTCGAGAATGAAAATCACTTCTCAGATTAATCCATGATTCCAATCCCATATAGTTCTCATACTTTTCTCAGATCAAGCCATGCAATTTATCAACTTTGATGCATGTCAAAATAATTAATGCTGTCAACTGCCACTAAAACTCATCTCTTTAAGCATTTGATGATCCAAGGAAATACGAATCAGGAGCCAATACGTATCTCAAGAAGATTGAAAAACAAAAGAGGAGAAGAAAAAATTCACACGATTTTTTAATGCGCATAATAAATAAAGATCTCACAACCACCGCAAACAAGCAAATAGAAACAAGGACAAAAAATGTACTCACGTATCTGGACAAACTGTAGCATTGCAATTTTCCCAAGATGGAACATCAGCCAACCAATCCTCCTATTGCCAGTTAAAAACAGAGAAGAAAAAAGATGATAAGAACATGAACTGCATAAAATCTCTCACAATTTCAGAATCTGGCCAACAGTGTTTATAGACGCTATGGAAATGACAAGGTTCATTAAAAAGTAAATATTCTTCAGAAAAAAATATTTAAGGTGTTCTAATGACATTTTGAAAAGACAACATAAATATTTGAGGCATCTTTGTTGCTGTTACATCTGAGACCCTGCAATATGTCTTATTCACAAATGCAATAGAAAGATTCATTTGAATCTTACAGTGATATTGCTCTGAATGGATTGAATCATTTCATTGAGATCTTTGTTATAGAATGTCTTCATGGCTGATTCAATTATCATAGTATCCCATACCTGCAATAATGTAAACATGACAAAATAAGATAGCATTAAAATTAAGTAAAAAATTATATGGATCAAAACTTAGCAGCGTCATCTTCGAAAATGAATTTGAGAGTTTAAGCAAAATCCTTTCTCAAGATAATTTGATTTCATGAAAGGCCTGAAACAATGACGTTTTGGGGGGATGCAAAAGGGAGTGGAGATGTCACATGCAGGAAGGAGGAAGTGCTCATACTTAGAAAGGAAGAGGCTCATAAAATGGTAGAGACCACTTGATTGTTATTGAAAGAAATACCAGATTGCATCTTATCACTTGGACAGAATATCAGTATCGTTGATCTAGAAAGTTTGAACCTATGTTGCTTACTCGAGAAAATATGTGTGTGGGAAAATGGATGATGTTCAAAACTTTGAAGCCAAAGTTACACAACTTACATGGTGCAAATTAGTTTTCCTCCTGTACCAACGGACTTTTATTGTGTTTCCACCCTCGTCTCCAATAAAACCAACATGCAGTGGCTGCCAACCAAAATGAATTTTTCAGACAATTGAGTTTACATATTCTTTAGTTGTTTATATTTCCTAGAGAAATGTTCTAGCATGAGATAAGACCTCTTGTATGTTCATACATTGGTTAAATAAATTACCATTAAGGGGGTTAAGTGCATAAAATATAAGAGAACTGAAGGTTTTACTTTCAATAAAATATCATTTTAATCCTTACGGTACAAGCAGGGGTCAATATTCATGCATTACATGCCCAACATTTTCGCTTGGTAAATATCAATGAGCGATATCATACAGTATTGCTGTTAAAAGAAAGCAGATTTAAGAACCATAATATAAAACTTCCTAATTAATTATATGCCAGATATCGTAATTAACAATTTTTTCATTCCATAGAATGTAAAATCCAAGTGATAAGCAAAAGAAAATTTCAAATGTCAATGCCTCTCAACAAAACCTGTGTTCCTTCTTTTTTTCAATACGAATGTCACTTTAAAATTGTTAAGTAGATTTTTCTGCAATCTCTGTTACTTTGCACTATCAATTTCATACTTTCAAATAATATTTAGGCCTATGAAAGATGAGCTGACCTGATGGACATCACCAACAAAATGCGATAAGAACATGAGTGCCTCTGTCAAGTTGTCTGCCATTAAAAGAAATGAGTGTCCAATTTTCATGGTGTCACCAAACCAGCTAATTGTTGTTTCTTACATTTTAATCCTAATGAATCAGAATCACGAGAAGCTGACTCAAGCTGCTTGGTATAGTTATAAATTGCTCCAGTGACACACCTATCTTTGTGTCCGTGAGTGTCATGGCAATCTCCTGCCAGAAATTAGATAAGAGATTATTCAAATATTCTTATCAGGTAATAACAACTTATGAGTTATTTTCTCTTGAGAATTTTTTTAACTTCAAATAAAGATATATATGTCTTTTGATGGTAGGACAGAAGGTGATGAAATAATATCACAAAAAAGAGAATAAATCATGATCATCATGAATTAGTCTCTGCTGCTCCATGACCAATTTATGTGGCCATGACAGTTAAGAATAGTGTATATAAATTCATGAGAGAAGCCATATTTATTTATATATTCAGTAGCAATACAAGAAACCTAAAAGGAACACAGACAACACAAATGATTTCTGAGTAAGGACAACAAGAAAACAACTGAATTCTGCCTTTGAGAACTATAAATGATAATATACGTGATTAAACATCCAGTAATATGCAACCGTAACAATCACAACTCTGTGGAAACAGGACATTACCTAAGTAACTTAAACGGTATTTATTTTCTTGTCAAATTATGAAAATGGATATTGTTTAAGAGATGTACAAACTAAAACTGATGGATACAAATTAATGAGGAAGAGATTTGATCTTACTGCAATACTTGTAGTTGCACCTAAAGTCAGGTGTATCAACATAATGTAAAGGACTACTCCAGCGATAGTGGTAATGGTGCTTAACCTCATCTGCCCAGGAGCAAACAGCAGCAAAGTCACCTTCAGCACTGTCTGGAAGCAATGCTTTGATTGAGGTCAAAGCATCTTCAGTAAGATAATCCTACAAGTTGCTGTCCGCATCAGTTATGTTAAACGAGTTCTTCATCTAGGTAGTTTAAATTCTCGAAAGAACAGATCTCTTTAACATTGTTAATGTTCAATATTTTTGAAGTGTTCTCTGAAGGGTCTCCATGAAATCTTGAGAGAACAGGCTTGACTAAAACCTCCGTTGATATGAAATTAAATCATGCATTCCCAATTTCTCCTATCTCTCCCCTATTATTACAGCCGACCCACCGCAATAAAAAATAAAAAACAATTCACGTAGAACTCTCATGGGAGGTTCCTGGACCTGATTCAAAGAAGGTTTAGCAGTGATTTACGACAGACCATTCAAAACTTTGAGACAGAAATGAGCATTCCTAGATATGAAATGATCTAAGCGGTGTAATTACAGGCCAGTAGCATTCAAAGGTATGTTTAGATTACAGATTCAAATTTTATACTCAACACTACTCTTGCCATCTACTGCCTAATAAAAATAAAGCAGAGCTGGTAAGTCACTCTAAAACTCAAAAAACATAGGAGTGGCTATCTGCAACCATTAATATCATAATTTCAAATAGCATCCCTTTATTCATCTTCAACTAGAAATCAAAATTTTTATCATCATAAAAATTGTAATTTTATATTTCTTGAATTGGGTAAACCATCAAGAGACAATATCTTTGATTATTCATACATTCCACACACCAAAAATTCCATTATAAACCACTGAAAATAACTTTGCATCGCCTTTTTTATTTATTTATATTCAAAATCCTCATAAACATAATTAATAAAAACACAAAAATACCTCAGCAATTTTGCAAATGGCAAAGTGGCCTTCTTTTCCCCAACCATGAGCTTCCCAAATAATTAGCAAGAAAACCATTGCCCTCCATATCCACCGCGGCTCAAGCACACCCATTACTGCCACAGATCATCAAATATATTACCATCGATACAATTACTAAACACACAGAATACGCACATTAAAGAAGTTTCAAAGAACAGAAACAAATGCGCCTGCAATCTGAGAGTAGTACGGAAGATAAGAAGAACCCTACAAAATTTCAATTAAATTATGGCCAATAAATTTTTCTACAGCTGCAGTGTAGTGGTTGGGTGATTGTTATGCCGTTATTTTTATATTGCTGCACTCTATAAAATTAATTGAAAAAATCGCGGTAATTTTAAACTTGCAAGAAAAACGATAATAATTGCAAGATTTTTTTTTAGTATATCCTATAAAGATATTTATTCAAAACCCCTTAATTTCATTCAAAAAATTATAATCCCCCCAAAATTTAATTTCTATAATAGATTCCCCTTACATACCAAAAAACTAGAATAATGCTATTTACAGTCGTTAACTACTGTAATTGACCAACGTGACAATAACGTTACTCAAAAAACTATCTATTTTTTTTCAATTTTACCATTTTAAATAGTTATTAAATAATGTAATTATATTGGAATAATGTTACTTGTATATAATTATTTATAGATTGATAACATAACGTTATATTAAAATTTAATTGATTTTCTTTTCTCCGTTTTTATCTCTCTATCTTCCAAACAGTTTTTTTTCTCTTTCTTAGTACAATAATTCGTCGATGATTGTGTAAATAGCATTGCTCATTATAATTTTCCTTTCTTTTTTAACATTCCTCAAGTTTTTTTATTTTTTCATTTCATATTTTTGGTTGGGATGAGCATTATTTATAGTGTTAGAATTCGAATAACAAAGATAGGATCATGAGTTAATAGGCATGGACCTTCGGTGAGTCTTTCGGAGTTTTTTAATATTAATATCAAGAACCACCCAATGTAATTCGAATATTTTATAAATAAAAATATTATGTTCACGTAATAACTGAAATCGAACCCGAATAGTCGATTCGAGTTCGGGTTCTACCTATAAATTTTATTTTTAAAAAAACCATGAGCTAAAAATACAAATTATCTTCATAAAATCTAATGAAAATAAAATAAATAAAATATCAAATACATATTTCAACTATTTGTTAGCCACTGTGAATGTGTCATTAAATAACATTCAATATCTACCACAATAACATCCAATTTTCTGCTCTGATTTTGCGTGAGTGCCTCAAAAATGATTTATGGGATGGACAACATGTAAAGTGCAATCAAATACGAAACGAGAGTGATATGATTCAAATATATAAATGAATTAATCTGATTGGTTAGGGTATTTACTATTTGAACCTTGCAAACTTGATACTTACAAGTTTTAACTTTCCACTTGAAGGGTTCAACCATGCTATATGCACTCTCTTTTTTACACATTTATTTACACTCTTCCACGTAGTAACATTTATAGTCTTGATTTTCAATTCATCCATCCGCATATGTGGTCACCATCATCGATACTCAAGATATTGTGTTTGGAGAGGTGGATAGATCACTGCACAGAATAGAGGGAATGTCATATAAAGTGTAAGCTAAAATGTACATCTAATTTACTTCTGCAAGGTTTGACTCATTGGGTTAGCGTGTACAAATTTTTTAGAAAGGATAAATTTGGTTCTAGAGTCGATACCACGGTTCCAATTCAAGAACCAACAATCGTTCAAGACCCAATTGATTCTAAGTTTTGATTTCTAATTTTTTTTTTTGGGAGACGGAACGGAACCTCCTATTCGGTTCGCGAGGTTCAATTCCAATTAAAATGTCCACCCTAAAAGTTATGGAGTGAGATAGAAATAGAGAAAAAAGTGTATTAGTGCAAATGTGCAATAAAGATAAAAGACAGTGGCCTATAAGTGCTTTTTATTAAACGAAGGTCAACGCCTAATTGAAAGCAAAAAGCATATGGGGATTTTCCTCCTAAGAGCATCTCCAACGGACTCTTTAATAGCGCACAAAACATCAACACCGGCCCATATCTCTTCAAAATCTGCAAAAGAAACACAAAAATAGAAAATTAGAACTTCTAGGTTGGTGAACACCAAAAATATTTTGAAAAAATTACACAGCATATAGACAAACTCGTGTGAAAGAGAAATAGAAGAGAGAAGAAGAGGGGAGAAATCTTGTACAATGACTGTTGCGTGAATATTTTTTTTTTAATCACTCTGCTTTTTTATTTATGGAAAAACCCAATCGTTTTGCCGACATAATGCAGTGTAATGGTTAAAGTGTGAAAAGAAACCCAGAATGTGCACTGTAAATCTAAATCTCAGTACCTGAATCGGTGATAGAAAACCATTCGAAATGAATATGGAATTAACGTGGCGGGGCAGAAGACCTGGTACTCGGTGGCTTTGGGTACCGTCAAACTGTACTCCGGATCGGCGAACGTGGCCAGCGATTTCCCACGGCTTCTTTATGTACCGCCTTTGTGGGATTCTTGGACACAAAGTCGTGAGAGGGAGAGAGAGGAGGGGAAAGAAGAAATCGAGAGAGAGAGAGAGAGAGAGAGAGAGAGAGAGAGAGAGAAAAATGTCGAGAGAGAAATGAAGTGGGTGAAGAATGGATGGGTATGGGAGTTTGCGTGTAAGAATGGAGAGAGAATGGTGATACAAGCCAAAAGAAAGAAGGGAGGTTGCGTGTAAGAATGGAGAGAGAAATGGCAGGAAATGAAATTGGCTGGGCTCGGCTTACCTGACTCTACTCCAAAACGGCTCGGCTGGGTGGCCAAATGGCTTAGGAACAGTGCAAGCAAGTTTCCTCTTTTATATATTGTAAGGATATATATCAATGTACATATGTCAACAGCTCGTGGGTTTTGTATTTTCTTTTCACACATTTTTCTCCGGAGAGTGTTTATTGTTTATTATTATTTTTTGGACGGCTAAGGTTTCAGTATAATTATTTAGGGAGAATTGCAGTTGGGGTTCCAAGCCTTTTAAAATGTTGCACAGTATATTCAAATCTTTCATTTTTGCACCCATACTTCCAAACATTTCATCTCAATTGCCGCTGGAGGACATATGAATGGAATCCGTTCATTCCTCTATCAATTGACAAAAAAAAAAAAAAAAAAATTACGTTTTTAATTTATTTTAACCAATTAAATGAAGGGGTGAAATGGTCATATCACTATTCCCATTTTTAAAATCAAAATGACAATTATGCATGTAGTACGTATTCCACAAATTGAACGGAGAGGAGCACTATACAACATTATCCCACAAAAATTGCTCGTCATCTTATACGCTCCCTCCTCTCCTCGGATATGGTGAGTTTTTATGTTATTTTATTGATTTTTTTATATTCATTGACTGATTTATCATGAAATGTTCAATATTTGGACGCAAAACATGTGCATCAAATAGAGGTAGCATTTGCTTGTACATAGATGTTGTATTCGAACTTTGTTTAGACTATTATCGTTACTGTATTATACTAAGGTTTTGATATGTTTTGCTTGTTTCACCTGAAAGCCATATGATGTGGTGATGTGCCAAAGTTAGCCCTCGTTTGACCCCATTACATTTATAATACATTTTTCTCTCTTTTCTTTTTAACTATACATTCTACAATAAAATAATATTATACATAAAAAAAATTATTAATTTTTAACCACACATTCTCTTAAAAAACACTATTCAAAATGCATTTTTTTAAAATCAAAATGGGGCTTAAACAAGATCACAGTTTGACTTTCCTTATTTTCTTGTCTCAATTATATAGTCTTATTTTTTTTATTGAGAATATTTTGTTTTGTTCGTTTACTAATATACCCTTATTTAATTTGCTAGTTATAACCAATTTTCTCCCACTTAATCTTGAAATCGTACAAAAGTAAAGATACATACTTCTTGAAAAATTAAATCATCAATTTATTTACTACTTCCAACAATAATTTACTACTTCTTGTTGATAATTAAATAATGGTAAACTATAATTCTTTTGGGCAAAAAAATTATATATATTTTAATAATATTAATAAGATTTCTTGATCAGTGTGAAAAACAAAACCAATGGGACGGAGGGGGTACGATGGAAAAAATTGAAATTGTCTTTCTTGTGGCAAACCCTTCAAATAAACCAAACATAAACCAACTCAAGTGTCGATAATTTTTGAGTCGAATCATCTGCTTGTTCCAACTTGATTAAAACCATTTATAGCAAATTCTTAAGCTAGCCAAACATTATTTCATGTGTTTCCCTACTAGCCACAATAATTAGAATCTGTAACGTGATCCTTCAGCCCAGGAAGAACTTATTTCAACCACTGCAAAGAGCTTCAATTGCCAAGCTTTTCAGCACACTAGGACATGGATCTCCTAGTTTTGTTGTCGACATGGGAACCGAACATCTATGCTTCCCAACACAAACCTGTAATATCATCAAAATATGTCAGAAATTTACGCATATTGCCTCTCACCAACACATATACTAAGATCTAACGGCAAGAGAACTTAAAGTTAACAAGAAGTTGGTAACCGCTAATCGTGTAATGTTAATTGCATTTTCTGACTGATTCGTATAGTATACCAGCATAATCTAACGAAATTCTGTAGATTTCTACTCAATGCATCGTATCCATGTTCATAGACTTCAGAAAATTACAACTATTTCCACTCAAAGAGATTGCCCCTGTATATTTTTCTATTCCCAGGAGATCCTGAGAGCTTTGAGCAAAAAGAATAGTAAAAAAAGTGGAAGTTTTTCTTCCAAAGATTAAGTGCAATTTATATTCATACAAAATATAAAAAACACACATTCAAAGTTATTGAAGCCAAAACATTGGTTTCTTGCATAGCCATCGTCAAGAAAAGTATGCAATCAATCCTCGAAACCTTTAAAAATCCTAGTTGTCGTACAGTCAGTAGGGAAACAAGAAAAATATAAAATGCTCACAAAAATAACACAACCTACCTATGACAATCGATATCATGAACCTTCCATACCATCAACCTCCTCTAACAGGAATATAAATCATTCCCGGCCAACTTTAATGAAATATCCAACTACGGATCTGAAACTCATATCTTTTTCGCTTTCCTTCTATAGATAGCATTGGACTGCTGCTTGAGCCATGTTTATTACAATATCTATTATTCTCTCTTCTATACTTACTTATGCCAAAAGCCTGAGCCTAACGTGGTTAAACATTCTGAAAAGCTTACATTTATGGCATTATCTATACAAATTGTCACTGAAATGCGGACTCAACTTGGGGAAATAGTCAGACAAACTTTACCTTTGGTTTCACCTCATATAAAAAAGTGTATCTAATATTATGGTTTGTACAGTTGGCAGTTTGTAACAGAATAGATGTATGATACAATAAGCTTACTTACCTGCTGAACAATTGATGTTATATTGGCATGACAATCCCCTTGACTGAATGCTCCACAGTTTCCTCCAGGGGTACCAAAGCTAGCAAAACGAATAGCAGCAATTTTCCATCCTTCCTCACATGCCAGTCGCAGTTCAGGAGTTTGGGCTATGAAACCCAATTGTGCTTTCCAAGTATCAGTTGGTGGAAGGTCAGCCTCCGATACATGGCCACATATCACTAGCGCGTTTCGAGTCGATAAAGATATTTTTGAAGGATCACCGCCTAGCTCTTCATGTATAACCAATAAGTTCTCGCCAGGATATAACCAAGAGCGTGGTATATGATACCTGAAGATTATACAAATTATCCCCAAGTTTTTGTTTGGGCTAGATTATTTGGAGTGAAAAATGATTATTATTATTTTTTTTTTTCAAGAGAATGTGTGGTTAAAAAATAGGAAAAATTTATAGGGTTCACGTGCAAAATCATTTTATTAGAAGAATGGTTGAAAATGAGTTTGAGGAAAAATAATTTTCAAATCCGAAACAAATGCTAAATAACTGTAACATATATAACACGAGAAAACAACATCGTTGATTGGAATTAAATGGACAAAAAGACAGTCCCCACAGTGCTTTAATTTGTCTAAGATGATACTATTTACAGATGGTCCCTTGAAAATCAACCATAACAACTATGCTTTCCACGAGTGGTAGGTAACATAAAGCAAGGGATAATCAAATTACTGTTGTTACTTTAATCCCCAGCGAAACTAATTAAAGTGCATTTGGCGTTCACTTACAATGTTTGAGCTGGTTGACCACACTTCCTCAAACATTTGGATGCATTATAAGCTCCCCTGTAGTCACAATTCTCTGAACAGCCAGTTGATGGTGAGAGATAAGTAGACCAATACCGTCCTATACTCTGCCCATTGACCCATACCTGACCCTTCCCCATGCTAGCAAGATTCAATGACACAGGACCCTTTCCCTCGGGAGTGAGGAATATAGCCTGAGAATGAGAAGCTGAATGTCAATCCAAGTATGTTAAAGAGTTAATTCCTCTTTTTTTTTGTCTATTCTGACCATTATTTCTGATTAGCAATGCAAAAAAAGGGGGAAAACTGATGTATGCAAAGCAAAAATGGAGGAAAACACTAGTACATATTACTCTCATCAGCCTGTATGGTTCAGAGAATTCATTTTACATTCTAAATTTCTTCTACCTACACTTCTGCTTTTCATGCTATTACTCAAATCAATAACATGTTCCAAATATGACGCCCAAAGGCTGCAGATAATATAAGGTCCAGGATCCCATTAATGCTTCATTTGGGCATCATTCATTTTTTCAAATATTTGCACACTGAGAGATCCAGTAAATGAGAACATTATTTTTAATTATTATTAATCAAGTTAGGGGAAATTATTTCCATGTCACAAGATGAAATTACCTTGATATAGTACTTGAGTATGTTAGTGAAAGTAACTAAATGTTAAAAGATTATTTATTTGCTTAACTGTTCAGCAGCATCACTTCCAAACATATACTGGATTTCCATTTAATTTTCGTTGTTGACCATGCCAACTAATGCCATTATCCTAGCAATTAGATCCTCGTATTCACCGGTTTTCTTCTTAAAATCAAATTTTCTCTTTGACGGATTCACAGAGGAGAATTTAGATATCCAATGTCTGCTTCCCTGTGCAGCAATGCTAGTTGAATGTTAAATTACCAATATGCGTACAACTGACTACTCAGACAACTATTTCTATCTGATTCTAAATAGCACAAAATATGAGTGGGGATCCACATACCTTGTACCATATCAAACTCTGATTGATTGGTATGTCACTCCCCTGAGTCCATACTGAACTATTTGCAAGAGATATGTTATCAAGTCCAAGAAATTCCCCTTCAAGACCCACCTGGAAACACAACACATCCCAAACATCATTTTCATGTCATTAGATGCCACAATTGCAATCTTCCAAAGTGAAGTATAAGCTCCCTTCGTGAAAACTTCAACAATTCATAGCACAGAATAAAAAATGATTTCCCAATTATATGATGATCACTTGATTAAATTACATCTTGTAGATTACAATATAGTTTATTGAGTTAAAGCCAACAACCTGATAAGTCCACTGTGTGGAAGAAAGATCCTCCTCAGAATTCTTCAAATCGGTGAGAATAACAGAATAAATTCCCGCCCCTTGGATATCAAACCATGGTCCATAATTCTGAAGAATGATATTCAAGCACCAGGAAAATTTAAGTTCATTTGCAAGGAAAAATTTTAGTGCTGTAAAAACTAGAAAGTACCAAAAAATATGTTACATTTCAGGGAACTAAGATAGGCAGACACATTTGAGAGAGGGAAATTTTCTCATTTCGCTATCTTATAACTGGAACTTTTGCAAGCCTAATCTTCAGAAACACTTAAAGGAAACCAGTTCTGTTGTATCCCAAATTGGTTAGCAACATATTCAAATTTCCGTTTCTTTTTGTCATTTGAATTGAACTCTTGCTTTCAATTTATTCCTAGTTCTTCATGCTGGAAGAGTGCCACAATAAAAGAAGTCTGCAATAAAGTGGCATTGTCACTTAGTTATCTAAACTTTTAAATACTAAACTGCAAGCTTATTCTTTATCCAAGAAAGAAGCAAAATCTTATGTCAATTTAATTGCTCAAGGCTTTATTTGAGGGGAAAAAAAAAAAAATGCATAGGATCGCTCCACACCTGTAGTGTTCGTGATCTACCTCCTCAACTGTGTATTGATTGAAAGGCAGGGCGTCACAGCCCCCAATCAAGGGAGCGCTTATGTCCAGTATGTCCCACCAGATTTCATTTGTTTGGATATTATTTTTTTAAATTTAAATACACAGAAAGTCATGATTTCCAGTTGTATGCATTAGTAAAAAATTTAAATGTAACCGATAGGCCTTCTATACAATTTACCTCTTCTAGAAGGACCTAGAAGAAGGAGGGAATAGCTGATTGGGAAATAACTGAATCTGTTAGTGAAGGGATGATTGGACTTAGTTAGTTAGAGAAGATCTATACATAGAAGTAGAGAAAACTAGAAAGGGCATGCAGAAAGATTGAGAAGGAAATAGTAGGAGAGCATTGGCCTCTCGAAAGCCAAATACTCATTTGTTTTCATTGCTGTTGAATTTCTTTACATAGCAAAAGGCACACTGTTCTTGGGAATCTATCTATTTTACTGTGTTTACAGTTTTACTTCAATTACAGAATGTATAGTCATCATTTACATCTTCGTGTTTGGTCTTTGCCTTGCTGTGATTTGTTTGTCTGCAGAGATCAGCCACCAGTGCTGGATCTTATGAATTGTCATGGTTCCTATTGCAAGGTATGAGACTTGAATCCCACATCGAAAGTATGAACTTTCTGTGTGTGGTTTATATAGACTTGGGCTCTTTAACTTCAATAGCTAGCTTTTAAGATATGATTCTTCCAAAATATCAATGGTATCAAAGCAGACACCATGTCTCCAGATTGGAGTAGCATGGATGGTGACGTCGACATAACAGTGTTTGTCCCGGACTAATCATGGGCTAGTATAAAGCTAGTCCAATGTGGACAAACAGATCGCGGAGCATGGAGTATTGTCAAGGTTGCTATTGCAAGGAATGTGACTTGAAAACATCGAAAATATGGGAGCATAGTGGATTATCATGGTTGCTATTGCAAGGTATGAGATTTGAACCCCACATCGAAAATATGGGCTATCGGAGTGTAGTTTATATAAACTTGAACTCTCCAATTTCAATAGCTAGCTTTTAAGGTACGACTCTCCCAAAATCTATATCAGTAACCTAGGTTTGTCCATGCGAAATCTCTGTTCCTAGCTTTCTTTTCCTTTTGATATGCAATTTAAAATGTGTCACTGTAGTTACCCCTCATGTCTTTGGCAACACAAATTCTCAAGGTCCTACATGAGATAACGATATTATGTGAAGTGGTCATCCTTTTCTTCACTGGTCAAAGAACACAGATCAAAATAGTAATCCTAAAATACTTTGATTTAGAAAGTTCTAGTAGCAACACTGAAGCAGCAGGAATCCACAAATCCTTTCACTTAATGTATACCATGTAAAGGAGGCACAATAAATCTTCTATTAAACGATAAAGCATAAAGAAACTTCTCTAGAAACTTGTATTGGGGTTACCATTAAAAAAAATAATGAAAAAAAAATCCATAACTTTATTAGTAAAGCATCATTTTTATTGAATTTTTCAGTATTCAGTGCTTCCACTTCATAAATAAAGATGATATAATTCAGAATTATTAGTGATTAAGAAAATTATAGGAATATTCTAGCACTTCTGTGTTAGCTCACACCAATCTCCATCGTACATTCTACTGCTAGTGATAAACAAAAAGAAGACACAAACATTGCTCTTAAGTGTGCTGTTGCACGATTAAGATGGGGAGATTAATATAAGCAAATACACGCCAATCATTAAAATTTTGAGAATGCTATTGAGGACAATTTGAAACATTTTGGATCACCTGTAAGCCGATCATCATACTTAGCACATCTAATGTATTACTTCCACTGTGAAGGCTAATTTTTTCTGTCAGCAGAAAGCTGGCATCATCATGATTACCATAGCCAAATCCTGAAAAGTCCAAAGTAAAAACATGTATGTATGCACAAATCAAAGGCTAAATCAATTAGACAGCTAACGGCGTGTTCATATTTTGAAAAATTAATTTCAGCCACTTGTCAGAAGTTAATATTAATACTTCCCTCTCTTGTTTACCGTGCTTTGCCTTTTCAGATGCCGAAAGATTTGCTTCATCTATATCTCATGATTTTTCTGTCATTCCCATTACAACCACACAAAAGAGAAAAAAACTGAAATGATGGAATTCATTATTCTCCTGTGACGAATATTAAATCTAAAATGGGGCCAAATGGGTGAAGTTCAATTTACATGTTGTAATGATAATAATATGCATATTAAATTGGTTTTACAAAATAAAGTAAATGTTATAGATGTAGTGAGTATAAAAAAGAGAAGTAAAACACACAAGTCACAGTATATACACATGGATTAACACACAAAAACATGATTGGAGCCAAGGGATTAATGCCTAAACACATCAAAAGGTGAGAAGAGTATTAAATGTCATAGAATTTGATGTAACTTCATTTTCTGAGATTATGAACCAAACAAAGTTCATTCTTAAGGAGTTTAAAAGTTGGTCTTATCATTGCTTGAGGGATGGGAGAGAGATGGAGAGTTCCAATGCCAGACACCATTCTTCAGTGCAAATTTATAAATAACTCATCATAGAGAGATCAACTGGCTTGCCAGTGAAAGTCAATCTACCATGCAGGATTTACATCATCAAGAAAAAGAAACTATGCTTAATCAATTACAGTATAAGAAGCAGAGAGATCTAGCATTAACACTATGCAGACAGAGAATTGAATAAAGTCCCTAATTAATCTTGAGAAATAAACAAAAAAGTAAAAGTAACTTCAATAACTTGAATTTTATATATTTTGATGTAACCGATTAAAAAAGAAATACAAAAAGAGAAGAGATGAAAGCTTTAACTGATGCATTACTTACCTACTAGTCTTTTGTTTACAAAAACAAGAGCTGCATGTCCTAAACTCCCAATAAGCAAGCCTAATTCTTGTGTTTGATTTTGCTTGATTTTCTCATCCACATTTATGCTGCCAAACAGAGCCAAAAAGTAACATGGGAGTTTTTGAAAGAAATAGTTAGGAATTCTACAGAGCTTTGAAAGTGAAGAAACAAATAGATTTAAAAAAAAAAATCTAATTACTTTGTTAGTTAAATAATATAAATAGTGTCTCGTGTGTGTAAGTTTTCAAATTTAAATAATAAATTTCACTTCTGGCATACAGCAACACATCTCAGAAATGAAAAGGAAAGAACATGAGATTAAACAAGACTATTTTTACTTTTTTTCCAGGTAGAAAACTCATTTTCTACCCCATTTTAGTTTTTTTAGGTTTTATTTTAAGAGCTGATGATATTTAAAGAACAACTCCAAAAAATCCAGAATAATATTGAAGTGATCAAGTTCCCTTAAATTCAAATCAAGCAGTGAATTTGCAAATTTACACTCTTCCACATAATGTTTATCAGAGACTTCACCAAAGGAAACGACAACCAAAATAAATAAATAAATAAATAAAACAAATAAAACAATCCAGCATATTACCTTGTTGTGTACCATAGAAAATCACTTGTATCTTTTGTCGTATTTATCTGCTCCAGTAAACGCGATGCCTCAAATGAATTATTTCCCCAAATGCCCACTTTTTCTTTATACCAACTCCAAGCTGACGATGCTAGTGAAGACTCGAGCATAGTGCTGTGAGTGAAAACATCATCACCACTAGTTTTTTGTGAAGCAACCTTTGACCATGAAAAAAAAACTTCATAAGATATTGGAGCAGAGAGGTTTTCAACTTCTATCACAAGATATTAGACCAGAGAGGTGTTCAACTTCAGTGATGCTCTCCCTGACTAAATTAGAAATTCAAACAGACGCAACACCAACAGAAAAATTTCAATTTGCGAGAGAGAGAGAGAATCAACTCCCCAAATTCACCAAAGCTTCAAGAAAAATAACTTCTTAATGACAAATAATCATGAGATGTGGAAACCTATCTAACTACTAACATATTCTGATTCTTAGCAATGATATTTAATTCATTTGTGTCTAAGAAATTATTTGGATCTATTTTACATGGCTATAAAATTACTCCTTTTGTTTATTCTTAAGAATTCCAACAGGACCACTTTATTGGCAACGAACAAGATTAAGATATGGATTTCCCCTTTAAGGACATGCAAGAGGATCTCTGTAGAAGTAATCCTCACATTTAATTTATTTATCTGCAACTACATTCTGCATCAGTTATCTCAAGAGTTTACTACTTAAATAGAAATACCATCTTCTACCAATGAATTCGTAGTCATATCCCATGACGAAATTAAATCATAATTATATATGAATCATATAATGACTTAAGATCAGAAAATTGGCACCGAAAGGCAGTAGGTGACTTTAGAAAAAATCAATGAGAATTAGTTTTTTCTCCTGTTTCAAAAATTCCAGACATTAAACCATGTACTTTCCCTTGGTGTTTCCTTTGCCATTGACTCTCCCCTCTATCCTTTATCAATCCTTTGGGGGAAGTTACAAATAGATATTCAGAAACAATTTTATTGTGACCATCTGACCAAACAAGGCATTAAAATAGGGGATACACAGATCAAAATTTAATCCTAAAATTTAGCTAAAACATCAAACCTGGACCCCATGCCAAATTTCTGAAAATGAAAAACAGATAATAGGAACTAACAGTATTCTTCATAAAGGAAAAGAGAACAGAAACGGGCAAGAGGGGATTACCTTCGCCGTGTTGAATATAACATTCTTACAATCGGGAAGAATGCTGACAGACCATGCAGGCAGGAAGTATGAATTTCCATTGAATTTGACAGTACCATCCGAAGAGCTACCGTAATTAGCAAGAAAGGCTGCACAGTCATTGGAGGATCTATAGTACACATGTGCCTAATAGAAAATTGATTGTCAAATTCGCTGTAAATGCAACATGAAGATTTGTAGTCATTGTACGGTACAGTTTGTAGACCCAAACATACTGATAAGATGTCCATTATAAAGTTTTTTAGCTTGCATGATATAAAACAACATAAGCCACCATTAACATTTTGATTGGTCATTTAGGTATTTTGGATCATACATTCCCCTTTTTCTTTTTAAAATTAATTTACTTTTGGGATAAATTCAATCATTGAGTTCTAAATTGTCCATTTCGAACCCACTCAAGGTACAAATATCAAATCATTGATAAATTTTTTTAAAAAAAGGATATTTAGATGTTACCTCAAGATTCACGCCAAGAGAAATTTGAGTTGGATTGGAATTCACTAAATATTCTTCACACTGCTTAATTGCAAAATGTAGGTCACGCAGGTGGCCCCACTTCGGTTGCCTGATAAAACCTGCATAATACCTCATATAAGCTTGAAAGAGATTGAGATGGCAGTTCATGCTTTCTTTATCACGGTTATTTTTCCTTCCTATAGAATTACTGGGTTATTCACACTAGTCGCTTTTCATCTTTTAAGCAATGTCATCAAATTACGAAATACAGAGGATAATCCACTGGATCAGAAATTTTACCATACTCATCTATTGGAGCATCATAATCATAACTTGTTGCAACCAAAGGACCACCTGCGGTTCTTCCAAAGTTGGTGCCTCCAAAATACTGCGTCAATCATTGGAAAATTATCTTTATAGATATCCATATATTTGTTAACCAAATCAAAAAAGCACCAATGCATAAAGCTTACCATGTAATAGTTTTGGAAAGTCCCACCTGTTTCAAAAAAGCGTGCAACAGCAAAAGCCAGGTCTTCAACAGGTCGATAAGGAACAGCATATCCAAATGCGAGGAACCTATAAACTTATGTTAGTGTTTTAACTCCTTCAAACTTAAATGGAATATTTTAAATTTGTTCTATTTAAATATAATTAATTTGTTACTAAAGTTTGTAGTTTGTTACCATCCACAATAGTTCTCAGTCCACATTTTTGGTTTGGAAGGTGAATTTGGAGAGAACCGATCACAATAAAAGCCATTGCAAGTATTTATCTGCATAATTAACGTGTTGTCTCCAATAAGCATATGTGGCCATCATGAACAGAGCTAAACACCAGCCACAGCATTGCATGTTATGCCCTTGTTTGAGCTCCATTATTTGGCAAAGAATGCATTTTTGAATAGTAGATTGATGGAGAATGTGTGGTTAAAAATAAGGAAATTTTTTGGGTTTACGTGTAATATTATTTTATTGAAGAATATGTGGTTGAAAAGAAGAGAGAAAAAAATATATTTTGAAAATAATGGGAATCAAACAAGAGCTATGTTTCTTTGTTGGTAAAATTGTTTTAAGGGACAGAAGGGAAAGGGAGAAATCTGCAGTTGGGTAATTACTTACAATTGGATCGGGTGCATCTTCTTGGGCACACATCACCCAAGGGACGGTGGTATTAAGCTGGACAGCTGTTTCTGCAGCCCATTTAACATATAATACTCCACCTACGCCATAAGCAGGTTCGACATTTCCATATTCATTCTCCACCTATAACCATACCACCCAACCAACCAACCAAATAAGGAAAAAAAGAAAAGGAACGATATGCAAAATTTAAGAAATAAATAGATATATCAAGTAAGTATTAACAAAATAAAACGAAAAAGAAGAAAATATCAAACTACTTCGAAGTTTGATAACATTCACCACTCACTGAATAGTATCTGTGACATAATTGTAATCGCTACCACACAAATTGTCACAGCTTGAAATATTTTAAGCAGTTGTGACTTGAAAAAAAATTTCCATCGATAGACTGCCATGTACATAAGAAGAAGCAACCTGTGAAAGAATGATTGGTCCTCCTTGTGATGCAAAGAGATTCTCATCCTTCATCAAGTTAATTATCTTTGCAAGAAAACGCTTCATTTCATTCTGCTACACAATAACACAGGCTTTATAGAAAATCTTAACATTTTAAAAGTAAAATAGGAACCTGGTAAGCATAGAAGCATTGGAGTTGAACCGATTATACAGATTAAAATTAACCTTGAAAAGGTCATTCGTGGTTCGAAACTGTATTCCAGGAATAAAGTGCAACCAGACTGGGAATCCCCTGATGCACAGGAAATGCAAAAATAAGTAAACAGCATAAGATGTAGCTAAACACATATTATAGAGGGGGTGATTATTTCATCTTTCAATTTAGAATAAACTTTGAGATTGCATAGTCTCTAAATCTTCTTCTTCTTTTGAGAAAACAGCTCTGAAGGAATTTTTGAAGATGCCATAAATGAAAACCGGGTATTTTTACATAATAAAAACTACAAAGATAGGTTATGAGCTGTAGGACTGCACTGAGATGCCTGATGAAAGATAGTGCAAACGAGTTACTATTTGAGGGCTAGCGTGAACAGAACCTTGGAGAAAGAGAGTCTAGCTACCCATCCCCCACATTACTCCATAGGGCATCAAGGTGGTTGATTATATTAGACAACAAAACTTAATAAAAGACAGACCCATAGTTCCATTCTGCACAAGCATAGGGACCTATTCTCAGGTGCACAAAGAGGCCAGCGTCCTGCACTGTCTTCACGAACTGTACGAGGTCAAACCTGCCCTCAAAATAGTACTACAAATTTTGAAAAGAGTCACTAACAGAGTTGACAATTATGGTGATAATGTGGAACAATGATTGCAAATAAAATCATATCTGTTTTTCACTTATATAATTTTTTTTGCTTGGAAGTTCGGAACTCCAAGCCAACTTTTTCCAGATAGCTAGCACAGGAACATAGAGAGGATTCTATAACCAATAGGAATTGACTTGTGATAAAATACAGTCAATTGCGGCAATGAACCCCAGCAAACATACAAACAAACTTAAACTAGCTTTACCATAGAGAGGATGAGAAGTAAGCCGTATTATTCATAGAAGTGGTTCTTGGAATGGAATTGAACCATTATTAAATATACGTAAAATATATCATCCTTTCCGCATTAAGTTTCAAATGCAATTCAGCATAGTTTAGGAATAAAAATTTGGCCTTTGACTATTTTTTATACAATAGATTCTATAGTCTGGAGTACCAGCCAATATTCATTGCCAAGGAATGGAAACAAACAGAAATAGAATAAAGTTCTGATTTTGAAATTAAAATGAATGGTGGCAATTGTTTTCTATATGACCATTAGTTCTCATATGCACATAAATCTGTATCAACTACTGCGAGAAGATTTAAAGAGTAAAGACCTTGGCAGTCTGGTAATTAGTTCGACCGATCATATAATGCAGAACTAAATCAAAGGCAGACCACATTTTGACACATTAAGAACTTAATAAGTAAAATGTATACTCGCTCAAGACTCTCCATAGCAAACAATGAGATTTAGCTTATATTTTCATCGAATTTCAACCAATGAGTTCACTAAACTGCTGTTAAAATAAATGCACATTGCAACTTTTATACCTCTCCTCTGACAGGCTCGTGATAATTCCAAAAAACATAAGTCTCAATCACGTCCAATCCCCCTTCCTTCGCCTTCCTAATGATTTCCGGCCACACCTACAATTCACCACCAGCAGAAAACCAGACCTGAATTCCAACACATTTTACTAAAACCAAACTTACGGATAAATGTGAAGAATCCTTCTGATTATAAGGGATCACTAAATCAACATTACTACACCAAATACTAATAAAATTCAGACTCACATCAGGCGTGGTTCGAGGATAATGAACAGACCCTGACTGTAAAATTCTCCTCTTTCCATCAATAACCAATGCCTTGCTATCGTATGTTACAGTGGTGGAAAACGCTCTTTCACAATAATTACCTTCAAACACTAAAACCACCAGTAAAATTATCATCAAGACATTCATCCTTTCCATATTTAAATTGGAACTCACACAAGTGTAATAGACTTAAAAACCCTACCTTATATTTGCGCCTCAATGTAGATTCATAAAATTAAATTATCCGAACCATGTATTTGCATGTTTGTCCTGATTGATAAAGAGGAATAGGAACATAACAATTGCAATTGATAGATTTTGGAATTATTAGATTGAGAATCCCGAGAACTTGTCTGGTTCCCCATGTTTTCATTTCTGGTCGTTGACTGCAATGATTATTCTTGTGATGGTGAAACAGAGATGTTTTACCTCGGTACCCTAATTGTCCATTTCGAAACACCCCATTGTAAAAAGGATTATATCATTAGAATCATGGCACGGAAACTAACGAGGACAAAAATTCTTTGATTATTGAGGAATGATCAACAACTACTTCACGAGTAAAGAAGGTGGACAGACCATGAGACTACTTGTTCAAATTATGGTGGACGAAACATTGACCACAACATACAGAAGGAAAAGTTTCATATTGGACATGTAGAAAGGAACAAGATGGATCAATTTGATATCCTTTTTTTGGTAAAACTCTTGTATGTGATATCATTTAAGACTTAATTCCGTTTTTAATTAGGTTTTATTGTTCATATAAATAGGACTCATTTCATTCTTGTAAAAATACACAATTTGAGAGATTATTGCGAGACATATGTTTTCTTCTCGTTCTTTATAAAATTAATTTCGAATTTATCAAAAATTAAATTCTTGAGGCGTTCAACAATTCAAGTAAAGTTCATAAATTTTGTAATCAAGGGGTCTAGATATTATTTCAATTGTCTTAGTTCTTTAGTTCAATAATTTATTGAGTCGAGTTTTTTTTCAAACGTTGATTTTTGCTTTCTTCAGTTTGATCTAATTTATCGCAGGTTTCGTAATTATAATTGTTACGTGGGTTGGCATCAATTGGTATCAGAGTTTAGCTCCAAAAATTAAGGTTATATCATTTAACTCCTTGTTTGTTTTCATTTGAGTCCTTATATTCGTTCTTCGTATTTGTTCATCTTTTAAGTCATTCAATTCAATTAAAATAAAAAAAAATTCAAAAGTTGTTTGCACGCTAAATTAATGCCCAAATCAATTCTTTTTCGATTTATTATTAATATTAATATTATTTGTTCTTTGTTGAATTCTTGCGCATTTGGTAAAAAAATCTGAAATTTACAAAATTCCGAATTCAAGAAACACTTTCTTGAATTTATCTTTGTCGTTTCCATTCAACATTTAAAATCCTAATTCTTGAATCATTTTATATCATTTTTCTTACTCAATTCTTTGTTTGAACTTTAAAAGGAGATCGAATTAATTGTTTGAAACACTTGCAAGGAAGCATTGAGTGAAAAAAGGACAAAGTGGTGAGATTAATAGAAAGAAAAAAATCAAATTGAGTTATACATGAGTTTATACACGTGATGCATATATTATTTTAGATTTAGGATGTCTGACAGAGATTATTCTACTTCAAACGGAAAGAATAGTCAAGTCATCATGACGGAGAAGATAATATGACGATTGGAAAGGTTGTTTGGTGATATGGGAGATAGAATGGATATGCAAGAGGCGTGGATGTAGAGGCAAGACACGTTGCTTGCTAATTTGTGTAGGGAACAATCTAGAGAAGTTCCTAACACAAGGAGGCAAGGTAGGCGAGATTGTAGAGCGAATATTGGTGGTAAAAATGAAGCGGGGATTGATGATAATGCATTGGTGGAGGCTGAAATAGAAAGGATATAAGCATGATAGGAGGGCTACATATTATGTTGGAGAAAAAGTTGATAGAAATATGGACATTATTAAAATGATAATTATTTCATTCAAATGAATAAGCGATCCGGAAGTATATTTGGAGTGAGAGAATAAGATATAGCTTATATTTCATTGCCATAACTACTCGGAAGAGAAAAAAGGTGAAACTTGCTATCGTTAAGTTTACTGATTATGATCAAATAGCAATATCTAGGAAGAGGAATCATGAGAGGTCTATTGAAACATAGAGAGAATTAAAGGCTATCGTGAGGAAGATGTTCGTTCCTAATTATTACTATAGGGATCTTTATCAAAAATTACAAAGTCTTTATCAAAGATCTAGGAGTGTGAAGGATTATCACAAAGATCTGGATATTGTCATGATTAGAGCGAATGTTGAGAGGATCGGGAGGCTACCATGGCTCGATTTTTGAATGGTTTGAATATGGAGATACCTGTTGTGGTAGAACTACAATATTATGTGGAGTTGGAGACATGCTACATGTAGCCATGATGGTGGAGAGACAATTGAAAGGGAAGGGAGCAATTAGATACCCATCGGGTTATTCAGGTCCTAACTCGTCTTGCAAATCGGAGTGAGATAACAATAAAGGTAATGAGATTGTTTCATAAAGTAGAATTGACCTATCAAAGGGAAGAGGGAAAATTGCTAGCAAAGCTACATCCATGGTGGAATTCCATCCCCCTAAGAATCGAGATATGAAATGCTTTAGGTGCTTGGGGTCGAGACATATTGCTTCTCAATATCCAAACAAAAGGGTGATGATATTGCGAGATAATGGAGAAGTGGTGAGTGATAGTGATGGTGATTATGATAACATGCCGGAATTGGAAGATGCTAGTGATGCTAAGAAAGTGAACTATGTAGTGGGAAAGCTGTCAGCTACACGGCGAGTTCTTAGTGCTCAAATCAAAGTGGATGACTTAGAGAAATAAAAGAACATATTTCATATGATATGTCACGTCACAACAAGGTATGTAGTATGATTATTGACGGGGGTAGTTGTACCAATGTGGCTATCACTACTCTTGTTGAGAAATTGGGATTAAATATGCTAAAACATTCTAGGTCTTACAAATTGCAATGATTGAATGAATGTGGAGAGGATAAGGTGAATAAGCGAGTGTTGGTGAGTTTCTCAATTGGGAAGTATCAAGATGTGTGATGTAATTCCTATGCATGTCGGCATATTCTGTTGGGGAGGACATGACAATATGGTGGGAATGTGATGCATGATGAGTACAAAAATAGGTACACTTTTACTAAAGATGAAAAATCTATTACTCTTGCGCCGTTAACATCAGCACAAGTTTATAATGATTAACTCAAATTGAAAAGTGAGAAAGAAAAAACCTGAGAGAAAAGGAGAATGAGATTGATCTTTCACAACAAGAAAGCAAGAGAGAAAAAAGTAAAGTGACTAATTGTGAGGAGAAATAGTAGAGCCATAAAAGAGTAAAGAAAAAAGTCTTATGAGATGAAAGAAAAGTCGAAAGTGAATTTCTTTACAAAAGGAAGTGAGTTGAAGATGGCAGTGTGTTGAGAACCAACCTATGATCTTATTGGTTTATAAGGAATCACTCCTCAACTTTGAGAAATTTAAAACACCCATTCCTAGTTTGGCTACTTCTTTGTTACTGGAATTTGAAGACTTGTTTTCGAAGGACGTGCTAAGTGGGCTACCACTCATTCGAGACATTGAGTATCAAATTGTTGTAACGAAGGCCAATAGCTTACTTTAGTGAAAAGATAAGTGGAACAGCTCTCAACTATCCTACATATGAAAATGAGTTGTATGCACTTGTTTGAGCTTTGGAGACATGGCAACACTGCCTATGGCCAAAGGAGTTTGTGATTTACACTGATCATAAGTCTTTGAAGCATTTAAAGGGTCAAGGTAAAATAAACAAGAGGCATGCAAGGTGGATGGAGTTCATCAAGACATTTCCATATGTTTTACGGTACAAGCAAGTTCAGGAAAATGTGGTAGGGAATGCATTGTCAAGGAGGTATGTACTTCTTAATTCTTTGGATGCTAAATTACTAAGATTTGAATATGTTAAGGACATGTATACTAATGACCCAAACTTTTCTAATATATATGAATCATTTGACAAAGGTGCTATAAATAGATTCTTTAAACATGATGGATATTTGTTTCGGGAGAATAAATTATGTGTACCTAGGTGTTCAATGAGAGAATTGTTAGTACGTGAAACACATAGTGGAGGTTTAATGGGTCACTTTGGGATTAAGAAAACTTTGGATATGTTAAGTGAATATTTCTATTGGCCTAAAATGAAGGTTAGTGTGGATCGGGTTTGTAGTAAATATATCATTTGTAAAAAGGCTAAGTCTAAGGTTTTACCTCAAGATTTGTATACATTATTACCCGTTCCTAGGGAACTTTGAGTTGATGTGTCTCTGGACTTTGGGTTGGGTTTACCTAGGACTAATAAATAAAGAGATTCCATATTTTTGGTGGTAGATAAATTTAGTAAGATGGATCATTTCATTTTGTGTCATAAAATTGATGATGCCACAAATATTGCTAATTTATTCTTTAAGGAAGTAGGGCGCTTACATGGATACCTAGGAGTATTGTGTAGGATAGGGACGTTTCTTTAATCATTTTTGGAAGGTTTTGTGGGGTAAGTTAGGAACTAAGCTATTATTCTTTACAACTTGTCACCCACAAACGAATGGGCAAATTGAAGTTGTTAATATGACTATGATACAACTATTGCGCACTATAGTCCATCAGAACTAGAAGAGTTTGGAGGATTGCTTGCCATTTATAGAATTTATATATATTAGGGACACGCATTCTGCTACTTCTTATACTCCACCTGAAATTATTTATGGTTTTAATCAACTAACACCTTTTGATTTAATTTC